CATAACAATGTGGACACACTAATAAATTTACATGGCTAACTTAAAAACAGTTAAGACAGTGTTTTGTGTTATATGTATTTTACCATTTAAAAATGAAATCAAAAAGAAAAAAAATGAAATCAAGCTGGGCATAGTGGTGCACACCTGTAATCCCAGCACTGGGGAGGCTGAGGCAGGAGGATCACCATGAGTTTGCGGCCAGCCTGGGCTATATAGTGAGTTCAAGGCCAGCCTGAACTACATAGTGAGATCTTGTCTCAAAAAATAAAAACTAATGCCGGGGATTTAGCTCAGTGGTTCCACCCCTTGGTTCAAAAGCGCAAGGACCCGAGTTTTATCCCCAGTACCAAAAAAAATAAAAATTAAAAAAAAATAAAAAGTTTTTAAAAGGGTTAGAGATGTAGCTTAGTGTAAAGGGCCTAGGATCAATCCCACAGTAACACACATACACACACACACACACACACACATACACACACCTCTGAGAATGTTTAAATTTGAAAGATAAAGAGCAAAACAAAAAAAAAACTAAAGTGGAAAGAGTTCATAGATTGATTACTTAACTTATTTCTGTGTCTCAGGGATTTTGGACACATAAATATTTTCTAAGTAAAAAAAATAGGGGCTGGGGATTTAGCTCAGTGGTTCCGCTGCCTGCCTCGAAAGTCCAAGGTCCTGAGTTCAACCCCTTGTACCAAAAATAAATAAATAAATAAATAAATAAATAAATAAATAAATAAATAACATTTACTGAGGGGCTGGGGATTTAGCTCAGTGGTTTCGCCACCTGCTGCACAAGTGCAAGGACCCGAGTTTGATCCCCGGTACCGGAAAACAAAACAAAACAAAACATTTACTGAGTAAAAAAATACAACTTGTTGTTGTTGAGGAGTACAACAGGCAGCATTGTGATTTATGGATTTATTGAATCTATGTTATGAGATTTGAAGGATAATAAAAAATATACAAGAGTTCAATTATTTTTAAGATGTTGCCTTATGACTAAAAAATACTTTTCCTATAGGACTGTACTTAGTGTTTAACATTCATTAGTGTTTCTAAAGTAGAGATAATGTTAGTTAAGAAAAATCAACCACAGTTCCCATGCCCAACAGCAAATGAAATCGAATTATTTAGTTAGCATTGTCTGAGGGATTTGGGCAGCCTCACCTCTGATCACAGCTGCTCCAAGGTTAATATTGGATTTGTATCCAAACTTTTTCCTCTCTCTCTCTCTCTTTCTCTCATTGTTGTTTTTTTTTTGTATCGAGGATTGAACTTAGGAATTTTTGCACTTGCAAGGCGGGTGGTGACACCACTGAGCTAAATCCCCGGCACATTCTTTCTTTCTTTCTAGATGAGGTGTCACTATGTTACCCAGGCCAGCCTCACACTCCTGAGTTCAAGTGATCCTCCTGCCTCAGCCTCCCAAATAGCTGGGACTATAGGGGCACACCATCATCTCTGGTTTAGGGAAATATTTAAAGTTTCTCTCTAAATGCTAAAGGAAGAGTTTTTTTGACACCATGAATCTTAAATGTAGAAATGAGTGTTTGAGAATGTGTAACTGCCACAGGCTGTAAAATATGGGCAGATGCTGGATGTAGTGGCACACATCTGTAATCCCAGCATTCAGGAGGCTGAGGCAAGAGGATCACTTAGAGTTTGAGGCCAGCCTGGGCTATATAGTGAGTTCAAGGCCAACCTGAACTACATGGTGAGACCCTGCCTCAAAACAAGACAGAACAAGGGCTGGGGATTTAGCTCAGTGGTTCAGCTGCCTGCCTCGAAAGTGCAAGGTCCTGAGTTCAATCCCCAGTACCAAAAAAAAAAAAAAACTATCATAAAAGAAAACAGAACAAACAAATGACAACTAGAAGTAGTAGAGCATAAAGTATGGATGCTGGTTATTGCTACCACAAACCTCCTGCTTATTGATTAAAATTAAGAATATTACTCTTTTGCCTTGGTGTCAAAATTCAAGAGACAGGACATAAAGTAATTATTTTTGTTAAAAAGCTCACGTTGGGGGACGGGGATTTAGCTCAGTGGTTCCACTGCCTGCCTCGCAAGCATAAGGACCCGAGTTAGATCCCCGGTACCAAAAAAAAAAAAAGCTCATGTGTGCAAGATGGAATACTTCTCTATGGCACAAGGGGAATAGCAGACTTTGGGCCAAAGAAGCTAATTTGATAAGTCTAGTTAAATTTCTGCAGGGCTAGTCTTCCCCACCCCCATACCAGGGATGGAACTCAAGACCTTGTGCTTGCGAGGCAGGTGTGGCACCACTGAGCTAAAAATCCCCAGCCCTCCACAGTGCTAGCCTTTTTTTTTCTTCCGGTGCCGGGGATGAAACTCAGATCCTTCCGCTTGGGCAACAGGCAGCAAACCACTGAGCCAAATCCCAGGCCCTACAGTGCTAGTCTTTAAAAAATGAAATTAGTTGCCATGATTTAATACAATGAAAATATAATTTTTTAAAATAATTTTTAATTTTTTAAATAATTTTTTGAGCTAAATCCCCGGCCCAAATTTTTTAATTTTCTGAGAGAGTGTGTCACTATGTAGCCCAGGCTGGCCTCAAATTTGTGGTGATTTTCCTGCTTCAGCCTCCTAAATGGTGGAATTATAGCACCACGATGCTTGCTCATTTGTTGCATTTCAAAAGCAAAAATACGTGTTGCATTTTGATTGCATTTTAAAAAGTTGAGCTCCTCAAACTTTAAGTTATATTAAAATTCAGCAGAACTGAACTCATTTTAGAAGAGATATCTGATAGCATATGATAGGATTTGGAGATTAGACAACAGGTCAGTTAGTAATAAAACACCAATGATAAAGCCTCGACTGTTTTACAAGACCTGATACGTGTGCCTTGCTTGTCCCAAACAGCAGGGAGAAACTAAGTGACCTGGCTGTGCAAGTCTGGACGGGTTGGTTTTTTTGTTGTTTTTTTTTTTGGTACTGGGGATCGAACTCGGGTCCTTGTGCTTGCACAGCAGGCAGTGAGACCACTGAGCTAAATCCCCGGCCTGCTGCATGGGTTTTTCATGGATGCATTTAGTTTGCACACTGCTTGAGAGCCATCCCTTGGCAAGAAATATGTGTGACACGTCTCTTCTAAAGTTGGGAGTTCAGCTGCCAGGCAGCCCTATTTTGAGCTAGGTTTGCTTTTCCTGCCCTCGAGCTGCTCTGAATCTGAGCTGGGATGCCACACAGGTAGAATTTGTCAATGAGGTAGCACCTGGAAAACTTGTACAGAAAGAAGAGGAAAAATGCTACCACTAAGGCTGATGCCACAAGGCCAAGCAGAAGCAGCGCCAGCATAGAGCTCTCCTGCGTGCAGCTCCCCAAGGGCTGATGCAACATGCGGAGGCCACAGAGCAAAGGGGTCCCAGCATTGTGGACCCAGTTCCTGAACAAGACTCTGAGTTGCACCGTGTTGTGCTGAGCTCTGAGGCCTTTGGATCTGCTCTCTCCTCTGCCTGAAACACGCACTCCCTCTCTCTTCCTTTCTCTGACTAGTTGCTATTATCCCTGAGATCTGACCTTAAATATCACTACCTCTGAGAGCTCATCCTGACCTCCCAGCATGGCAGAGTGGGTTGGGTAGCTCTTGTTTACACCCCCACAATATCCCCCCTGCAATGTCCCCTGGACTTTCCCTTGAGAAGCACTGGTCACACTGAATTGTGTCCCTCAATTGTCCACTTCGTTTCATAGCCTCAGAAGATGGCTGGATGGTTGAAAACAACTCCATGTGTCTGCATCTCAGCTCATTCACGTATCTTAGGTGACATATCTGTGGGACCTCCTCATGTATGTGTGCAGGGCTTAGAATATGGCCAACAATGAATGGCTTTGGTGCCTAACAGAGCTTCCCAAGGAGTGGAAATTCTTGGGACATGTGAGCAACAGGTTTTATATGCATCCTGGGACATCTCAAAAACTATCTGGAAAGAATAAAATGGAAAAGGAGGGCATGTATGAGGAAAGAGGGAGGAAACTTAGAAATATCTCTCCAGGACAAAGTGGGGGTGATAACATCTTAATCAGAAATCAGAGACTGAAGTTAGAGAATCTAAAAGGATTCGGGAAGTACAGTTCTTACTGGAGAACTAACTGGACTTCACAATGGCACCATGAAGCCCTGGGAGTATTTACTGGAGAACTGAACCCCGCAATGGTACCAGGAAAGCTCAGATGTATTTACTGGAGGAATGAACTCCATCATGGTACCATGGCACAAGGTGGGTATGGATACTGAGCATAAAGTCTCTGTCTTATCCAAGGGAGAGTGGACAGACATCAAGGAAGGATATAGATAGGATCCAAGGGCAAGAAAGACATGGAGAACTACACAAGAATCCCGCACTGCCTTTCTAGAATGGAAGCTAGCTAGAATGGAGTCTACCCGGGTATTAGAAAGATTTTACCTGTTTTTAAAGAGCAATAATCTCTCTATCACAAAAGAGTGCAGCTAAAAACACTTCTGAAGACTTTCTAGGCTTCTCATCAGAGTCTAGTTCTTTCCTATGTCTTGCAAAGCCAGTCTCATCTGTTAGCATCATTAACCAGGCAATCAATGAGTGGGAAGGAATGAGTGGCCTCAATCCAAAGTGGAACGGTTTTCTGGAATCAGAAGAATCTGGGAAAGGAAAATAACTCCAGCCTAATTCTTCAAGTGAACCTGTTAAATTCTACTTAGCAAAGCAGAAATGACCACTCTACGGGGTAAGGTGGTACATGCTCCTTCCCTCTGTCCCCAGCATCTGCTTCTGTCCTTCCTGTATCTTAGGCTGAGCTCCCCAGAACCTCACCCCGCTGTAGCCTGAGCTGGGATTGGCTCTGCTGTTCCTGAGGCTGAGGAACTCTGGGCCCCCCTTGACTCCTCAAGGCAGGGAGGGTCTGTTAAGAAGCCACAGGTAGGACTGACTCCAGAAATAAGCCCGCCATTCCCTACATGGGGATGCCTGAGGTTGGTCAGACAGGGAAGTTACCTCCTCGGCCCTCACTGGCAGCCGGCTTCACTTGGATCGGACGATTCATCTGAAAGACATTGGACCAACACACAAGTTCAGCATGACTGCTTGGTCCTGAGACCCGGGCTTCTCCACCCCTGGAGAAGCTCAGAATCTGAACCCTGACCCCTTTGAACGCTGTGCTCCACCACTCCCACTGGGATCACAGATGTTCTCCAAGATCCCTTCCTTAAACCAGGCATTTAGAAAGGGATGGGGAGCAGGAGGGAAGCCCAGGGTGGAATGAGATGGCAGAAGAGATTCTTCTGTCATTGGCTCTGAGTGGAGCCACATGGGGTCTGTCTCTGGCTCCTGAATTTACTTAAAGGCTTTGAGTGAGAGGAGGTGGATGGGAGGGTGCAATTGATGCTGCACATTTGTGTTTTAAGTCTAAAACTAAGGACTTGTGCTATGTGTTATTTAGATGAAATCAGATTTGGTGCTATCTACCCTAACTCTACCATTTCATGGGTATATGAGTTGAAATAAGCCTCTCTCTCTCTCTCTCTCTCAGGTTCAATTCGTCAAAGGGGGAAACCATTCCCACGCCCCTGTGTCACCATACTCTCTGCATTCACTCTCTCTGTCCCCCACCTGGTCCCCTTCCTTAGAGGATGCTGAGGAACTGCCTAGGGCACCACCCGAGGCCCTTGCTCACCCGACTCTTCCCATTCTTCCTGGATGGTCTCATCCATGCGGATGACTCAGAGCTCTAAGTCCCAGCCCACACTCTCTCCTGAGCCTCACAGCCATGTTCCCAGGTGCCTGCTGGACATCCTGGCTAGAAAGGCCCTCAGCACTTTCCATTCATCACACTCGAACCATAGATCATCTTTCTCTCAAGCCTGGGACTCCCAGCACCCAAGCTATAAACCCAGAACCATCTTGACTTCTCCCACAATGGCTGCCCCACCCTCCAACCAGTTACATCTTCTAATTTAAGGGTGCTCAGATCAGAGACGGTTAAGAATCCCCTGGGAACCACATGAAACTCTTAAATTGGGGGATTGTATGCTTTGAAAAGCTCCTAGGTGATGCTAATAGATCCCGCCCACATCCCCACCCCCACCCACCCTAAGTGAATTCATGATTGAATCCCATCTCACCTTCCTCTCATGGGTGTTGTGGGGATCACGTGAGGTAATGGGGATGCAAAAGGTCTTGGTAAAGTGCCAAGAGCCGGGTGCGTAGGATGTGAGGAATTATTGTTGGGGGGGGCAGACAGCTGAGTGCCGGGAGGAAGGAACAGCGGCCTTCCCGTTCACGGAGGAAGGGTTACTGATGCCCATCTGGCCTGAGAAGGTGATGATCTGACCCCCTCCCCTCAGGAAATACACTGATTCTGCACCAATCAGGGGCCACTCCATCTCCTACCAATGTGCTCGTTGCCGGGACAACAGGCAGCTTCCTGTTACCATAGCCACAAGTGCTACCCAGTAACTATGGTAACGCCCTGGCAGTCACAGTTGAGCAATTTCCTTTGGATCAAATTTGGGGGTGGGAGGGGTGGGGAAGACTTTTTAAAAAATAAAATTAAAACAAGGAAAGGAAAGGAGGCAAAGCTTGAAGCAGTATAGTATCCTTCCCACCCAGGGCGCTGACACACCCACCCGCTAGTGGTATGCCAGTGTGCCAGGCTGTGGGTGGAGGCCGAGACACCAACAGCACTCAGTGCAGTCTAGAGGGGGTGACAGATCAAGCCAAGCAGAGCAGGGTGAGCAAGACAGGTTGAGACTGGCCTAGACCAGGGACCAGGAGGACAGGACTGTTCCTGGGCATGGCCACCTGTGATAGTGAAGGAGAGACCAAGAGACAGAGCCACAGGGAGCAGAGACACCCGAAAGACAAGGAAACACAGGAAGATAGAAATGAGAGAGAGTAAGAGATAGACACGGATGGCGCAAGGCGAGAGAATGACCTGTGGGGGTGGGAAGGAAACGAGGAGATGTACAGTCAGGAAGTAAGTACAGGATGGACAAGGAGAATCGTCATAGGGAAGAAGGAAGAGGGTAGAAGCCTGGGATGCAGGCAGTGAGGGTGAGCAAGACTATCATTGTTTTATTAATTCTTAAATACATCCTGAGACTCTCTCTCTGGGGCCTAGAGAGATGAGTGCTTGTGACAGCAGCGGTTTCCATGGCAGCTGCCTGCCAGACAGGTTTCCTGGGAGATGGTGCTCAGGGCAACACCCTATTCCCATCTCCCACCCCTGCACCACCCTTCCGGGGACAGTGGGCATCAGGTGGTAGACGTGGCAGGGCCCGGGTGCCAGCAGCTAGAAGGTGAGCCTTCTGCCCCACAGAGGTGGAGGCCACTGGGTTTTCTGTAGTGAGACCCAGGGTGGCCCTGCAGGGGAGACGGTACTGCCCTACATGTGGTCGCTATCCTCATAGACTCAATCCCACCATGTCCTGAGGACACACCATGTGCCAGGCTGTTCCTGGGGCACTTTAGGATCCTTTCAGCGTTCAGCCAGGTAATGCCATTGTCCCCCATACTGCAGATGAGAAAGCTGAGGCTGAGGGAGAGTACATTACATGTCTACAATCACATAATGAGGAAGAGGTGGAGCTGGTGGAGAGTCAAGGGACAGAGCCACGGGTCCCCCAGGTCTGTCTGAGGGTGACATCTGTGATTTTTGCATCGTGCTGCTCAACCTCATTCTTTTATTTTCTTTCTTTCTTTCTTTCTTTTTTCTTTTTTTTTTTGAGACAGGGTCTTGCTATGTACTCCAGCCTGGCCTTGAACTCATTATGTAGTAGTGTAGGCTGTCCTAGAACTCAAAGGTGATCCTACTGTCGCAGTCTCCTGAGTGCTGGGATCACAGGTGTGTGCCACCATACCCAGCTCAACTTTATTCTTAAGACACAAATGCAAATAATGAGACACAGAGGGTTCAGGGCAGCTGAAGTGGGGGTCTGGGAGTGAGGCAAACTCCAACTGGAGAGGGTGATGCTGGAAAAGGTTCACAGTCCCTCATGTGACTGGGGTCATTGGTCACATGGAGATACGGGGAGAGCAAGGGCTGGTAGCTGAGAGCTCAGATGGCCAGCCATAGACAGGAGTAGAACAAAGTGCTTCTGAATCTGATGTGGATTTCAGTCCTGGCTGCAGCGCTGAGTGTGGTGTTACACATTTAGGATCTCAGCATTCAGGAGGCTGACGCAGGAGGATCACCATGAGTTCGAGGCCAGCCTGGGCTACATGGTGAGTTAAGACCAGCCTGAACTACATAGCAAAACCCTGTCTAAAAAAAACTAAATAAAGAAGTAAATCCTGTCTACAACCCTGGCAACTTCTCTAAGGTCTCTGAGCCTCAATATCCCTATTCATGAAAGGAGCACTCACGATCCCACCTCTCAAGGCTGGGGTGAAGAAGACAATGGCTACATCTTAGTGGGTGCACCAGATATCTTGTTGGTTTCTGTGTGTATGGTTTTTGTCTTGATTTGATGGAAGGCTATGCAACTGAAAGGCAGGCGGGGGCAGGCTGTGGAACCACATAAAGGAGGTCTGACTGTGGTGTGTCTTGAAGGCAATGAGGATCCAGGCAGGGCAGGACTTCAGGTAGGGGAAGGATGTAGTCAGTTTAGTTTCATAATACGTTCCCTCGGCTGTCAGTACTCAGACAAAGGCTTGGAAAGGGAGCGACCAGAGGCAAGAAGACCAGATACAGGTAAGAGGTGGGGGCAACTTGGATTGGGGTAGAAGGAAATGGGCAGATTCAAGAAATGTTCAGGAAGAGTTAACTGGACTTTGGTTCCACGAGATGTGGGGCCAAGGGAAAGGAGGTAGTGTCGGCTGACACTCGGGCACATGGCTGAGGAGTTGAGGGAATTGGCTGTTTGGGAGTTTGGGGGTACAGAGTCCCAGGAGAGGACACCAAGAGGATAAGTACAGAGCTGGGGAGAACAGGGAGTCTGAGATTTCAGTGCCACATCTGGCTGAAAGAGAGCTGCCTACGTGAGCAGCCTGGGTGACCGCACCCTGCCTTGCTCCTGCCAGGGCCAGGGGAGAGAGCTGGGAGTGGGGCAAAGTAATCAGAATCCTCTTATGTCTGCTTCAGGGCCCTAGAAGGGACATCAAGGCAGAGAATGTCAGAGAGAGAACAACCTATGCCACACAATGGAGTTGGGAGGTCGAAGGTAGCAAAGGGATCCCCAAGACCCTAGTCCTTCCGAGCCTGTAAGCAGAGGGGAAAGACCCACTGCTGCTCCAGGCTAGACTTGCCTAACAGTCTCCGTACTCCTCCCTCCGCTCCTCCCTCCCGTGGAAAGAGAGTTCAGCAGGGACCACTGGAGAGTCTGGGAGAGGTGTTGTGGGGTGCAGGGAAAAGGAGGGGCAAAGAAAAGCAAACTCTGAGCAGAACGTGGTAGCTCATGCCTGTAATCCCAACACTTGGGAGGCTGAGGCAGGAGGACTGCCATGAGTTCAAGGCCAGCCTGAGCTACATAGAAAGACCCTGTTTCAACAAACAAAAAAGCAAATTTCATCATTTTCAGCACTTCGTTCTACCTCACTCCCTCCTCTAATTCAATCCACTGTCCAGTCCCACTGGTTCAGAATCTCCCTGGATGTCCTAAGTCCACCCTCTGCTTTCTACATCTGCCCTGTCCCCAGCTCCCGGCCAGCAGCATCTGTACTCCAGTGACATTGTCCTCCAGGGCCATCCTGTCTCTAGTGCTGCTCCCTCTTCCACTCGACCTTCACAGTGTGGCCAGAGAAATCTTTTAAAACCAGCTCCTCATGGTTCCCTTCTTAACTCCACCATGCCCTCCCCTGCAAGCCTCCCAGCAAAGGCAGGGCTCCTTGCTGTGCAAAGCTGCCCTGTCCTGGTGCCTGACATGCACGGTGCTCTCCACGCATGTGCAGCCCTGGCTGTCTTCACCAGGAGCCTTCCTGTCGCTCTCGTATTATCCCCAGCATCTCCAAAGTGGCCTTTGGCTTTTCGTGTTCACAAAACGTGATCGTGATTCAAGTCAGCAGCTCCTCTACAAAGCATCTCCTTCCTCCCCACGCTGCTGCCTC